GTCCAAATAATAGATTTTTCTGCTTTGTCGCCTATATTCAATCATTTCGCGTAGGTATTTTCGACGCCAGGCGACTATTTCAGGTCTCTCTATCAATACTGGCTTCCGATTACGCGTTTCGTAACGAAAATTAATTTCGTGCAGGGATTTCCTCATTACCTCGACTCTCATTTGGGGTATAATTTCATTTTCCTTGATCGCTGCATGTACAGCCTTGAGGGTTGGTATCTCATTCCTAAAGAAGACTGAATGTACGGTTCGCCTTAACGCCATTTCGCTATCGTCATCCAATTTAACGGCCTTTCGTCCTTTCAAATTAAACTTTGGATCAGTAGTAGCTCCACCCTGCGAATGGTCCACTCTGGAACGCCTGTCATACTTTCACAACGCGCGAGTGCATCTCCCTGCGACATAGTTCTGTTCAGATAATTGAACACGTTGAGCACGATTTTTTTCGCGTCCCTCTTCAGTGCTTTACGAAGCCGTCTACTTGTTCCCTGGCTGTCAGTACTTCCACTCGTGCCATTTGTACTCTCCATGGTTAAGTATAACCAAAACAGTAACCACAGAAACCACAACAATAACAATCACACAACAATTCTTATAAAAACACACAATATGCGATCGCTCAACGAAACACGTTCCAATGCGTTGCCGACGCCTATGAGTCTGCCGGTCGAGGCGCGTCTTTGATTTCATTGGTTCTACCGGCGGAGAACAATCAGCCATTATTTCCATCTCTGTCTGTGCTGTTGACCACCGCAAAGCCACAGAAACGACATATGTCGTACGCTATACGGCTGTACTGGAAGGAAGCCGGGATCGAGCTCTGATCACGTGTTGATCACGCGTATGAGTCATTACAGTTTTAAATAGTTGTAGTATAGCTTCGCCGCACATCTCTTCGGCACAATGGCGGGAGTCGAATGTGGACCAGAATCTTTGTTTCCGTCGAGCAGTAACATTTGACACACAATTTTTGAAAGAAATTCATAATACGGTAGAACCTATTTAGCTATCCTATTACGAGAAAATAATGTTTCCTGTTTTTATAACGTTAGGCGTATATCTTCTTAAAATTAAAACGCATTAAGTGAGATTTCATCTGAATATTAGCAAGAAACTCCTTAATTTTTTATTCAATTATGCTAATCACGTTACGGCTATGGAATGTTTCGAGGTAACTTTTTGACGGTTTGAAATTCATCTCCATTCTTGATGAAGCTTCTATTACCAAACCCTTCTTAGTTAAAATTTACGATTTAAAAAGACAGTTCTTTAGTTCTTCATCATATTCATTCTATATAGGGTGACTTTGAAGTTGAGTCATTAATTTTCAGATAATGATTGTAAAAGGAAGATAAACCAAAATATGTGTGTAAAAATAAAAAAAAAATTAAACAAAAATGTTTACCTTGTTTTATAAAGTATCCTCCCGACAAGTATTTCAGTGCGGACCTGTATTTGATCGTGAGGTCCCCTGTGAGGTCTTAAGTCACCTGATTCACGAGCCCGTTGTACTACATTAACAAAGGCACGAGGGGTTGGTTGCACTCGATTGGGAAACCGATCCGCATAAACATGTGCCATTTTTTATTTCGTTTGAGCCACGCAACAGACACTATTCACACGCGTTTACCGACTGACACTGACTGTATGTATAACTGAACTGAATAAATAATTGTAAAAACATCGTTCCAAATTCTTTCGCTTTTTTGTTTCCGATGCGATGAACCGATAAGGCGGATTATATCCGTTGTTGCCAAACACGAGCACATGATATTATTATTGAGACAGGGCGGTACTCAAACTTCCAAAGGGCTATAACTTTGTTACTTTAATTTTACCAGAAAAATGGTAAAGGAAAAAACATTTCTTTTGATCAGATCTACTCACTGTTAAAATAAATGACTCAACTTCGAACATAACGAAAAACTCCAGCAAGCACTTTTCGAGCAGATGTAATATGGACGCCAGTGGCGTACCATTTTTCGCTAAACATGAAGTTTAAACATCCCAACATAATTGGAACGATGGCAATATTCGTAAGACACCGAGATACAGGATGATTTAGCATAATATAAATTATTGCATTATACATTTTATTTTTTTCAGTGACAGTGATATCAACTTATCATACTTAAGGAAGACCTTATCATCTTCGGGATTCCAAAACCTGACCAAGAAATACTTCTACCAAGGCGTTGAACAAGTTAAAAGAGCTTTTTGCAAAGGATACCAGGTCATTGAAAAATCCCTACCTCCCTACTAAAGGGTTGTCCAATAGGGACGCAGGAAAGTACACGTCAATTTGACATAGACGCCATCTTTGTTTTCTGTCACCGACATGTCATTTTGTTAGTTGAATGCTTACCATTGATCGCTATGGAGTCGTATTCGATTGAAGACCGCATTAAGGTTATTCAAGAGCACTACAAAAATGGTGCAAAAATAAAAAGCACGTTTCGCGCGCTTAGTGAACATTTCGGTCGCAACAACCGCCCAAACGAAACAACCATCGGTCGTATGGTGCGTAAATTCGAGGCAACAGGTCCTGTGGCAAATCTGCCAGGCTCTGGCCGGCCAAGGAGCGTTCGCACACCGGAAAATATTGCTGTTGTGAAGGAGAGTGAGACGATCCGAAACAATCAACAACGCGTCGATCCCAAGAATTGGGCATTTCGAGAACCAGTTTGCTCCGCATTCTCCACAAGGATTTGAATGTACACGCCTACAAGATCCAATTGACGCAAGAGCTGCGTCGGGCCGACCATTTTTCGCACCGAACGTTCTCAGATTGGCTCCTTGAACACCGCCAAGTTGATGCCAATTTTTCATCAAAAATCATGTTCAGCGACGAAGCGCATTTCACTTTGAATGGGACGGTAAACAAGCAAAACTGCCGCATCTGGGCGAACGAAAATCCCCGTGAGTATCAAGAGCAGCCGATGCATCCTCAAAAAGTGACTGTGTGGTGTGCATTGTGGTCAAAAGGCATCATCGGACCTTACTTTTTCGAAAATGCGGCCGGGGACGCCGTTATCGTCAATTCTGAGCGATATCACGTGATGATAGAGGACTATTTTTTGCCGCAACTTGAAGGAATGGATATGGACGATGTTTATTTCCAACAAGACGGTGCAACATGCCACACAACCAACGTCAATATCCCTCGATTGCAGTCCTTCTTCGGTGATCGCGTGATTTCGCGGAGAGGAAATGTGCCATGGCCACCAAGATCGTGCGATTCAACTCCCTTGGACTTCTTTTTATGGGGATATTTGAAAAGCAAAGTCTACGTCAACAAACCAGCCACCCTCCAAGAACTAAAAACAACATCTTTTCCGAGATAAATGCCATAGGACCGACCATGTTGCAAAATGTCATTGAAAATTTCGACCATCGCGTGGACATCTGTAAATCCAGTCGTGGTGAATATTTGAGCGATATTATTTTTCATACATAAATGGTATAAATGAACCTTCAAAATAAAGTACCCAACTTGATTTGAATATCAATCTTTCTTGTTTTAATATTATCCCTATTAATACCAGTTTTAAAGCTAGAACCAATTACGCAGCGTTCCCGCGCATCCTGTCACGTGAGGTTCGTTCTACCTCAGACAGTGATGGCCAGTCTCTCACTATGCCGCCGTTTTGCTTCACGGCTCTGTCGACACTCTTGAAGCTGAAGAATCTAGAATGTTTCAAGCTAAGCCAGTCTAGAAATAAGAGCATGATTTGTCTATTATTTTATCTACAAGGTCGCACCCCATTTGTGACTCTCCTGGTATATTTTGGGAAAAGCGGTCGGACACGTCAATTTTGATATCTAGGGGGACGTCTTTTCATCTATAGCCGTACAATATAGGGTGATCAGAAAATAAGATATTGCGTTACATTTTAGATTTTCAAATGGAAACTCCCATTTTATGTAATTTTAAGATTTTCCATGAAGTTTTTAGTATATAATTCAAGGAACTGATATGTACCCGGCTTCTATCTCTTTCTAACATACAACAAAGTTTGGTCAAATCAATCGCAAACTATGTACTAAATTCCTATTCAAAATAAGTACGAGATATTTCCTTATCCTTCATCAAGAAATAACTTTTTTGCCACAAAAAACGCTCCAATAGCTATTTTCAACAACAAAATGATATACAAACCATGGGCGTAGTGAAGAAAAGTATTTACTTATTAAGTAAATTCTTTTAGTCAATTTTTTTTGAAAATCGACGGGTCTGAGCGTTTTTCCAAAAAAAAAACCTGAGCCGCCAGTGAATGCGTCTGTTTCGTTTTCGATGCGCCACCCTGTATGTGTCTATACACACTTCTCTCTCGTACACACTGCACTCAAGCCGTCAAACAAATTTGGTTCTCAGTGTATTATAATCACACTCACTCGGTCTTAGAATATAGAATGGCATTTATTCGATTTTAGATAAAGGAAGTGCAGAAATTGGTTCACATATCAGAAGAGAACGTCGCACCTGGACCCACAGCCGTTCAGGCTCAGTACATCAACGAAGATGGCACCTTTACGGAAGATTTTGTCATAGATTTTTTCAAAGGAGATGGGATAAGGAAAAGGATAGTGAATTGCAGGTTTCTGCCAAGTCCGGCGGCGACTAGCGCCTTAGCTATAGCTGAATACGTTCGTGAAAAGATGCCAGAAGAATGTAAATAGCTCAAATAAAACAATAGAAAGTATAACGTACCCAAAAATTGCATCCTTTTTCACTTATTAGAGGACCAAACTTGCCTGCAGTGTCTTCATCACTTGTACCGCACCTTGAAGACTGCCTTAAGTTAGGCAACCACAACAACGAAGTTATGCTAATGCGGTTCCGCGGCTGTGCGCGGAGGAGATAGCAGCAGAGTTTTTTACTGGAAACGAGCCCCAGACGCCGAAAATGCGGTGCATGCAAAATCAAGAAAATACTCACGAATACCATCAGGTTTTTCCTTTGCACACAAAAAACCAAGACACAGGTCGCCTGATAATCCATATTATTATTTAAATAAACTGAATAAAATGTAGCGAACAATCTCAAAAGAAGTCACGCCGATTAGAAAGACAAAACAAAACATACGTCATGTCAAACACAGCGAAAAGCACGCGGAAAAAACAGCTGATCTGACCTAACAATACGTCAGCGTAGCGTAGCGCTACAGTTGGGGAATCCCTGTTTATAAACAGTTTTACGTCGAGCACATGACTCAAGTTTGGCGTTTCGGATCATTGAAGGTTATAAATTGGCGTTAAACGATGCATTTTTATGTCAAAGCATATAGTTAAACTTCACTGTAATATATCCAATAAATAAATTAATAACACTTGTATTTTTAATTAAAGTTCAAATTCCTTTTTTTCAGCTCTTCTTCTATCCATGGTCTAAGTGCTGTGACATCAGTGTACACTCCAGGCACACCCGATTCGCCACATTTCGCTCCAAAAGATACAATTCCCACCTAAAAAAAGACAGTTTTAAACTTAAATCTAAGATACACTAAAACCACTGACTAACATATTCTGCCTCACATTTCTTAAATATATGTCACCTCCATAAAATTGAAAAAGACAGCAGACAATTCCAGGCATGTACAAGATCTTTACCTGTACCTAAAATTAGTTTGTTATTTATCAAGAACCTATCTGGTTGTTGTGCAATAGTTTTTACAAAAATATCAAATAAGACTAAATGCGCCTCAAATCAAGGAGTGGCAAACCAAACCTATAACGTAGAGCCTCAGAAATGCCCATTATGAGATATGAATCATTACATTTTAAACATAAGTATACTAAGTGACATATAAATCCGAACACCCAGTTTAAATGGTTTTATTTTAATAAAAGTTGGTGAATGTATTTATCTTACTGTAAATAACAAGTGAAAAAATTTTCAGCCTTATCAGTGGGACATTCCGGTTTTTATACTGCTTTTTTTTAATTCACTAACGTTCTAAAAATGAATATTTCAGCCGCAGTAAAGAATCAACGTTGGCGGATTTTGGTTCTTGACATCCTTTACGATCGGTTACGATGCCTAGAGTACGGAGACCTGTACAATTTCGTCAACTTAGTGAGTTTGATAGGGGCCGTATAGTGGGACTTCGGGAAGCTAGACTTTCTTTTCGGGCAATTGCAGAGTGCAAAGAAGTGTAGACACTGTGGTTAGGTGTTGTCAGGCATGGCTTCGAGAAGGCCGTACGCAAAGAGCAAGGGGCACTGGACGCCGCCGTAGAACAACAGACCGTGAAGATCGCCGCCTAAGATTATTGGCCTTAAGGGACCGTTTCTCCACTACCAGGTCCATTGCAAATGAATGGTTTGCAGAACACGGAAGACCTATTGGCATGCGAAGTGTTTACCGACGAATGAGAAGTTTCGGCTTGTTTTCATACCGGCCACACTGGGTCCTCCCTTTAACTCGAGAACACCGACGTAATCGCCTTGAGTGGTGCAGACAACGGTCACTCTGGGATCAGGAATGGAACAGTATTGTCTTTAGTGACGAGTCTCGATTTTGTTTAGGCATGCACGATGGTCGTGCCAGGGTTAGAAGGCGACGTGGTGAAAGGAGGAATCCACAGTTTTTTGTTGAAAGACATGTTCATCACACTGTTGGAGTTATGGTTTGGGGTGCTATAGCTTATGGTTCCAGGTCACCTTTAATCTTCATCAGAGGTAACATGAACGCGCAGCGTTATATCCACGAAGTTCTAGAACCCCATCTTTTACCCTATCTTGACACCCTGGCAGATCCAACTTTCCAACAAGATAATGCCCGACCACATGTTGCAAGAGTCACAATAGACTTCTTTCAACATAATGATGTCACATTGTTACCATGGCCACCAAGATCTCCCGACTTATCCCCAATTGAGCACGAGTGGGATATGATGGGTAGGAGATTGCTCAATTTGCAACGTCCTCCTCAGACTCTAGAAGCACTTCGAGAGGAGTTGGTGGTTGCCTGGAATGAGATACCACAGGAGGACATTGACCACATGATCAGAAGCATGCCTAGGCGCGTTGGAGAATGCGTAGCACATCAGGGTGCATCCACACATTATTAAAGGTCAAAGGGCTTTAAAGCAGTGCAATCATTTTGAAATTTTTATCGTTTACTTATTATGCTTCATTAAGTACTTATACAAAATTTTATTAAAATAAAACCATTTAAACTGGGTGTTCGGATTTATATGTCACTTAGTATATTTGAGAAAAAGGTCCCACCTGTTCTAAGAAAGTCTAAGAAAGTTACAAATATATAGAACGGTTTTCAAACTAAAGATTCATGTTCTAGCCTATTACGATCATATGCACAATATAACTTCTTCAAAACATTTATATCACCGAGCTCTTTACAGTTTTTGACATAAGTATTGTATGCCTCCGATATTTTTAAGTTGATATGATAGTTAAAGGCTAGTTTTTCATGAAGCCGTACGCCCAGATCCTTAATAGATCATTATTCGCAACCTTATATTGATCTTCAATGCTTTTTCTTGAAAATGTTGGACCTTTGCATTCAGATACATTCAAGTACAGCTTGTTAGAATGGTTAGAATCAAGGTTCTGACGTAGAATACGGCAATCTGAGATGTCAAGCAAGACAATTTGCAAGACAGATCGTTTATGTACAGTTAAAATAGAAGGAGACCTAACTTGGAACCTTGCGGTTCACCTGAAGCTCATAAATATTCTTGAGATAAAAAACCGTTATTAAAAACATATTGAGACCTATTTTCAAGATGTGATTGAAGGAAATTAACCATCAAATCATCAAATCCAAAACTAGATGCTTTGTTCAAAATCGAATGCTTCCACCTGACCATGATTACTCAAATTTTAATTGATAAATTGCGCGAAAGTAACCAACTCGGTAACTTTAAAAAAACCATGCTGAAAAAGGGAAACTTAGCTACAGGCCAAGATAAAAATGCGGTCATAATCATTTCAAGTACGTTCGAAAAATTTTACAAGACAGATAAGGGTCTATGGTTTTTATTTTCATCCAAATCGTTTACGTCATCGTCGAGCAGTAGGTGGACAGGACGGTGCTCATGAATTCTATATCGAAGGCCTATTGAGACTGACCTGAAAATACATGTCTTCTGAAGGTACAAAACAAACCAGAGGAGCTCCACCATCTCCGTCACAAGCATCTTTACCTTCCTCTCCTCCAGCACACATTTGAGAGTCATCTAAAACGAACTCTTTGCTCAAATATGGGGACTCTCTCAGTCTAGACTGACATTCTGTGTGCGGTATTACGGGCAGGTCAACCTTTTTCAGCACCGTATGACCTGAAAATTTTAATTTAGTATCTAGTATTTTCAGTTATGGATATGGTGTTCTGAAAGTTGAGTCTTTATTTTACCAGAAAAACTACGTAAATACTAATGTAACATCGGAAACTCTTTGCTGAACGAATCCCCATATGTGGTGACTACTCTTTACAGTTCAAATTGACATATTTTTGTCATTCTTCATTTTTTGTCGCTACTATACAGTGTGTTGTAATAACAGCTTGAATGGTCATGTTTCCGTTCTCAATAGACGCTCCTCCAAAGCGACAAGCGAGCACTGGGTTATCCATTGCTTTGGATGTACTAGACACGGCACCCTCGCTGATCGCCCTGAAAACGCCAACTAACTTTGAGAACCCGATCCCCGGCTACTTAATGCCGAATATGCATTGTTCATGGACAGAAATATACTAAGTGACATATAAATCCGAACACCCAGTTTAAATGGTTTTATTTTAATAAAAGTTGGTGAATGTATTTATCTTACTGTAAATAACAAGTGAAAAATTTTTCAGCCTTATCAGTTGGACATTCCGGTTTTTATACTGTTTTTTTTTAATTCACTAACGCTCTAAAAATGAATATTTCAGCCGCAGTAAAGAATCAACGTTGGCGGATTTTGGTTGTTGACATCCTTTACGATCGGTTACGATGCCTAGAGTACGGAGACCTGTACGATTTCGTCAACTTAGTGAGTTTGATAGGTGCCGTATAGTGAGACTTCGGGAAGCTGGACTTTCTTTTCGGGCAATTGCAGTTAGAGTGCAAAGAAGTGTAGACACTGTGGTTAGGTGTTGTCAGGCATGGCTTCGAGAAGGCCGTACTCAAAGAGCAAGGGGCACAGGACGCCGCCGTAGAACAACAGACCGTGAAGATCGCCGCCTAAGATTATTGGCCTTAAGGGACCGTTTCTCCACTACCAGGTCTATCGCAAATGAATGGTTTGCAGAACACGGAAGACCTATTGGCATGCGAAGTGTTTACCGACGAATGAGAAGTTTTGGCTTGTTTTCATACCGGCCACACTGGGTCCTCCCTTTAACTCGAGAACACCGACGTAATCGCCTTGAGTGGTGCAGACAACGGTCACTCTGGGATCAGGAATGGAACAGTATTGTCTTTAGTGACGAGTCTCGATTTTGTTTAGGCATGCACGATGGGCGTGCCAGGGTTAGAAGGCGACGTGGTGAAAGGAGGAATCCACAGTTTTTTGTTGAAAGACATGTTCATAACACTGTTAGAGTTATGGTTTGGGGTGCTATAGCTTATGGTTCCAGGTCACCTTTAATCTTCATCAGAGGTAACATGAACTCGCAGCGTTATATCCACGAAGTTCTAGAACCCCATATTTTACCCTATCTTGACACCCTGGCAGATCCAACTTTCTAACAAGATAATGCCCGACCACATGTTGCAAGAGTCACAATAGACTTCTTTCAACATAATGATGTCACATTGTTACCATGGTCACCAAGATCTCCCGACTTATCCCCAATTGAGCAGGTGTGGGATATGATGGGTAGGAGATTGCTCAATTTGCAACGTCCTCCTCAGACTCTAGAAGCACTTCGAGAGGAGTTGGTGGTTGCCTGGAATGAGATACCACAGGAGGACATTGACCACCTGATCAGAAGCATGCCTAGGCGCGTTGGAGAATGCGTAGCACATCAGGGTGCATCCACACATTATTAAAGGTCAAAGGGCTTTAAAGCAGTGCAATCATTTTGAAATTTTGATCATTTACTTATTATGCTTCATTAAGTACTTATACAAAATTTTATTAAAATAAAACCATTTAAACTGGGTGTTCGGATGTATATGTCACTTAGTATAAGATAAGATACAACAGCCTTCAGCATCTGTACATAACAAAACAAACAGCAAGACCATTTAGGTGTCCCTGCAAATGGATTTTGTATGAGATAAAGAAAGCTACGCGGCGCGGGATGAAGACGCACAGGAAAACGATCTTAATACACCCGAGAAACATTAACAAGATCCTACAGACACTGACGCTAAACTGACATCGACAAGCTCGTTGTTGCCATAGAAATGTGCTATTTTGGTTGTTCAAATCCGATGTATAAGCAAACGGCTCGGTTCACCTACACGATGCGCCGCATTTGGGTAAGACACTGAAGAGTGTCGCATCTTTTCACCTAAGGTTTTGCTGGAGACAAGCTCGGACCCGATACGTCAGTGTAACATCTCAGTTTTTTCAGAACCTAATAACTCATTGATCTTAAGACTATGGTCTGCTCGGGAAATTTACGAATAGAGGGGCAAAAGCTTAGAAAAGAGGAGCTTCTACTCAGGTGGTGTGCATTGTAAAAGAAAAACTCAACTTTCAGAACACTTTGTAGCTATCGATTCCTTACCATCAACTTCCGAGCCTCTGCCCCAACCAGCTAGACTACAAGTCCTGTTTTCCAAGTTCGCGTTTTTAGGAGGCAGACAAACTTTATTGATAGCTCCAGTCAATACGTATGGTTTGTCTAATATCAATAAGGCTGCATTGTTATACAGGCCTCCTGAATAGTACTTTGGATGGTGAACGATTTCTTGAACGTTTCTTTCGTCTTCAATACGTTTACCCACTGTCGGCAATTCGATTTTGCCATTGAGGATCACTTTGAAGTGGGTGTGATCAAAGCTGGAAATTTTGGAAAGTTTGAGAATTTATACGAAGTGACATAGAAAATAGTTGTATAAACGTTTATGCAACAGTTAAAAATTTGCCCTATAAGGTGTTGTATAACTATGCTATAAGAATATTTTAAACACCTCTTTTTAGAGCAAATATGTTGCAGAAAGCAAATTTGCATTCCACACAACATTAAGCCAGCATTTTGGTGTTCAGGCAACAACAATAGAGAGCTTTTATGGCTGAACGGTTCTTTTACCAAAAGCTTATACCACTACTTTGCTAGTTGGGAAATGTAACAAGTATGTACTTAAAAATATAGTGAAAGCGTTAAACGGTTGATGCATTTATAAAGTGGGTGGAGGTGTTTGAAGAAGTGGTGGGTGTATTTGTATTTGGAAATATGGTGAATGTAAATTGGAAAACGTCCAAGGAATTAACATATGGTGGGTTCCATTTGAAAATATGACGGATCCAATTGAAAATTTCCTTGTGCCTGAGAAAAATGTGGGAACCATATTTTTGAGACAACGCTCGTAAATTTGAAAATATTGTGAAGGATTTTCAGCTAATGGTGGATGCGTTTAGAAATATGGTGAATGTGTCGATGAATGGCCGATGCTCCGATGCATTAAAAATATGGTGGAAGTCATCGGAAAATAAGATGAATGAATTTGAAAATGTTGTGAAAGGTTTTGAAGAAATGGTAGGTGCACTCTAAAATATGGTGAAGATTTTTTGGAAAACTAAAATTTCAAGTCGATCGCATCTATGAGATATTTTGGAAAATATGTGTTCATCGCCATTTTTATTTTGGTACCTTCGTTGTTCTTTAAAAGCCAAACGTTCGCAGTTTTGACATTTTTGTCCAAAGTTCACCCAGTTTTGAATACTTAGTGCAAGCTCGTAAACCCTTCTACTTCAAATATATAAAAAACACTGAGACACGAAACATATACTAAGTGACATATAAATCCGAACACCCAGTTTAAATGGTTTTATTTTAATAAAATTTTGTATAAATACTTAATGTAGTAAATGATAAACATTTCAAAATGATTCCACTGCTTTAAAGCCCTTTGACCTTTAATAATGTGTGGATGCACCCTGATGTGCTACCCATTCTCCAACGCGCCTAGGCATGCTTCTGATCAGGTGGTCAATGTCCTCCTGTGGTATCTCATTCCAGGCAACCACCAACTCTTCTCGAAGTGCTTCTAGAGTCTGAGGAGGACGTTGCAAATTGAGCAAACTCCTACCCATCATATCCCACACGTGCTCAATTGGGGATAAGTCGGGAGATCTTGGTGGCCATGGTAACAACGTGACATCATTATGTTGAAAGAAGTCTATTGTGACTCTTGCAACACGTGGTCGGGCATTATCTTGTTGGAAAGTTGGATCTGCCAGGGTGTCAAGATGGGTAAAAGATGTGGTTCTAGAACTTCGTGGATATAACGCTGCGCGTTCATGTTACCTCTGATGAAGATTAAAGGTGACCTGGAACCATAAGCTATAGCACCCTAAACCATAACTCCAACAGTGTGATGAACATGTCTTTCAACAAAAAACTGTGGATTCCTCCTTTCACCACGTCGCCTTCTAACTCTGGCACGACCATCGTGCATGCCTAAACAAAATCGAGACTAGTCACTAAAAACAATACTGTTCCATTCCTGATCCCAGAGTGATCGTTGTCTGCACCACTCAAGGCGATTACGTCGGTGTTCTCGAGTTAAAGGGAGGACCCAGTGTGGCCGGTATGAAAACAAGCCAAAACTTCTCATTCGTCGGTAAACACTTCGCATGCGAATAGGTCTTCCGTGTTCTGTAAACCATTCATTTGCAATGGACCTGGTAGTGGAGAAACGGTCCCTCAAGGCCAATAATCTTAGGCGGCGATCTGCACGGTCTGTTGTTCTACGGCGGCGTCCAGTGCCCCTTGCTCTTTGCGTACGGCCTTCTCGAAGCCGTGTCTGACAACACCTAACCACAGTGTCTACACTTCTTTGCACTCTAACTGCAATTGCCCGAAAAGAAGATCCAGCTTCCCGAAGTCCCACTATACGGCCCCTATCAAACTCACTAAGTTGACGAAATCGTACAGGTCACCGTACTCTAGGCATCGTTACCGATCGTAAAGGATGTCAAGAACCAAAATCCGCCAACGTTGATTCTTTACTGTGGCTGAAATATTCATTTTTAGAGCGTTAGTGAATTAAAAAAAAGCAGTATAAAAACCGGAATGTCCAACTGATAAAGCTGACATTTTGTTCACTTGTTATTTACAGTAAGATAAATACATTTACCAACTTTTATTAAAATCAAACCATTTAAACTGGGTGTTCGGATTTATATGTCACTTAGTATATCAAATAGCATACGTTTTAAAATATTTAAATCCAAACATTTCATAAATGCGATCAAGTTGAAATCTTAGTTATTATCGTAGTCGGTAGATACTTTAAATCTCTGGAAACTCACTACTTACTTTTTTAAAATTTAAAAATGGATCATAGATACTATAGAATTTCTTCCGGTTCTTACCTCCTAAAATAATGGTTAACAGTTAAAACAACCCTGGGATGGACCAGAGACCCGGCGCATCTGTATCGGAACTCATCACCTTCATAATCACTCCGATAGATGGCGGCAATCCACGGGAATTCCCCGTCGATCGGCGTGATGTCGTCTGTCAACACTCTCGCTTGGATGCGGGTCTTCTGGACGCCGCAACTGATCGGTTTTTTGTTGGGCTTGACAGTTGGGAGAGGCGGAACTTGAGTTGTTATGAAATCGATGATGTCCGGAGATCTCGGTTGAGTTCCGTTGGTTTTGCAGCAGAATAATTCCTCGTCTGACGTTGGGCCTTGACAGCGTCTTGCTGAGAAGGAGTCTGCTCTGAAAATTGGCGATATTTGCATTCAAAGACCTAGATTATTAAACCAGGCGAGAAATAAATGATAACACTGATCAACAGCCAAAAAATATCCTAAATAAAATCAACAAAATATTACTATTTTTAATGTGCTAAAACCGGAATGAAACTTATTTTTTCAATATTAGTTCAAGTTTTAGAGATACGGTAATTATATGCGTTCCTGCTGTGACAGCGTTAATATACTGTAATTTCACAAGAATGCACGTGCTACATTTTTATATTCGGCAAGGAAAGATGATGTAATCGGCATGATTGTGTTACGTTATACATACGTGTACATTATATTGTTTTATATTAGCCATTTTTTCCTCAGTTGGCTGACAGCGTTCATGCAAGATGTCTCGAAAGTGTGTAAACAATCCAGATCAGTTTTGTTACGTGTGTGGTGATGTGACTTTTGCGTCTCAGAGACGGTCTATTACTCCACTAATAACAAAGGCATATCAGCTTTATTTCGGTTGTAAACTAGGTGATCAAGACAAATAGTGGGCACCCCACATCTGCTGTAATACATGTGCTTCAAGTCTGAGGAGCTGGTTAAATGGCAAAAAACGGTCTATGCGCTTTGCTGTCCTAATGGTTTGGAGAGAGCCTACAAATCATATTAATGATTGTTACTTTTGCATGGTACCTTGTGTTGGACAAGCCACAGGTATGTCCAAGAAAAAAAATCGGTTATTAACTACCCAAACATACCATCTGCGATGAGACCTGTGACGAAAATCCTATTCCAAAACCCCCAGAATCCTACACTTGCGAATCAGATCATGGCGATCGAGTGATTCGTCAGGAAGAAGATATGCCATCAACGTCAAGAGATCCTGATCTTATACCGAGCACGTCATGCCACCAACCGCACAAAATAACACAGTCAGTATTAAATGATCTTGTAAGAGATTTAGAACTTCCAAAATGTAAGGCAGAGTTACTTGGATCAAGACTGCAGCAGTGGAACTTGTTAGAAGACGATGTTTCGGTATGTGTTTTTCGTAAACGCCACAAAGACTTAGATCCATTTTTCAATATGGAGAATAACTTGGTTTTCTGCAGTAACATTAACGGCTTACTGGCGGCTTTAAATATAAACTATAACCCAGAAGAATGGAGATTGTTTATAGACAGTTCAACATTGAGTTTAAGGCAGTGTTATTGCATATTGGAAATATTTTACCATCTCTTCCTGTAGGGTATGCAGTTCACATGAAAGAATCATATGACAATATGAAGTACCTATTGACATGCATAAAATACGATGAGCACCAATGGCATATTTGTGGCGATTTGAAAGTTGTTGCACTTTTACTTGGGCTGCAGCTAGGCTACACAAAGTTTTGCTGTTTTTTGTGTGAATGGGACAGTCGGGCAAAGGCCATTACACCAGACAAAACTGGCCTGTTCGTCAATTCCTAGAGCCAGGTCAAAAAAATGTAACGTACAGCATATGCCATTAGTAGATTCGAAAAAAAATTTATTACCACCATTGCATATCAAGTTGGGCCTAATGAAAAACTTTGTCAAGGCATTAGATAGAGATGGGTCAGCTTTTCAATACCTGCGTCAGAAATTTCCAAGACCAAGTGAGGCAAAGGTTAAAGAAGGTATTTTTGTTGGGCCACAGATTCGAAATATTTTGAAAGATACACAGTTTGAAAACACTTTAACAGGTATTGAAAAAACTGCTTGGAATGATTTCCGTCTGGTGGTCACTAATTTCTTGGGAAATAGAAAAGCTGACAACTACAAAACCCTTGTCAAAAATATGCTGTCATCGTATCAAAAGATGGGCTGTAATATGTCTCTTAAGATACATTTCCTACACTCACACCTGGACTTTTTTCCTGACAATTGCGGAGCCTTAAGTGATGAGCACGGCGAACGTTTTCATCAGGATATTTCAACAATGGAAAAAGGGTACCAGGGAAAGTAGAATCCTTCCATGCTTGCAGACTACTGTTGGACTCTTGGTAGAGATGCTCCAGAAACGATCCATAAAAGAACAGCAAAAAGACAGCGCATATAGTGATTCTTATAAGTATATGAATCTTGTTACTTTTTTTAATATATCATTAAAAATAAAAAGTTTTTTTCTAAACCGCAACTAATTTTTTTATTTCATTGTCATTTTTGGATTCAGCGCCCCAAAATTAACAAAGAAGTGCACTTTTCCCACAAGATACAATTAAAAAACTAAAATTTGTTGTCCAGTGATATTAATTCAGCTTAAAAAAATACAACTAATATCGATAACACCTGAAACATCCGGTATACAAAAAAAATATTACATGAAAGAAATTAGACCCTATAATTTTTTCTTCTTGAAGGTCATCCAAGAAAGTTAGGCGAGGTTAATTTATGGCCGGACACTTTGTACCAAAAGGTGCGTAAAATTACCGGGGTTGGGAGCATATAAATAAACAAAGATCAAAAAATTGAGACTAATCTCCAACCCCCAATATTTAACCAGTAGGAAAGTTTGAGCGATTTTTATTTTTTTTGTATTTGAAATTTTTCTTCCACCACTGGAAGAAAAATTTAAAAAATATGCTGAAACGTACTTTGTGCTGTATAAAAAAGAGATTGAGGTACGGATGGCTACGAAATTCTTAGGTTTTGATTTTTTAATATACTAAGTGACATATAAATCCGAACACCCAGTTTAAATGGTTTTATTTTAATAAAAGTTGGTGAATGTATTTATCTTACTGTAAATAACAAGTGAAAAAATTTTCAGCCCTATCAGTTGGACATTCCGGTTTTTATACTGCTTTTTTTTAATTCACTAACGCTCTAAAAATGAATATTTCAGCCGCAGTAAAGAATCAACGTTGGCGGATTTTGGTTCTTGACATCCTTTACGATCCGTTACGATGCCTAGAGTACGGAGACCTGTACGATTTCGTCAACTTAGTGAGTTTGATAGGGGCCGTATAGTGGGACTTCGGGAAACCGGACCTTCTTTTCGGGCAATTGCAGTTAGAGTGCAAAGAAGTGTAGACACTGTGGTTAGGTGTTGTCAGGCATGGCTTCGAGAAGGCCGTACGCAAAGAGCAAGGGGCACTGGACGCCGCCGTAGAACAACAGACCGTGAAGATCGCCGCCTAAGATTATTGGCCTTAAGGGACCGTCTCTCCACTACCAGGTCCATTGCAAATGAATGGTTTGCAGAACACGGAAGACCTATTGGCATGCGAAGTGTTTACCGACGAATGAGAAGTTTTGGCTTGTTTTCATACCGGCCAAACTGGGTCCTCCCTTTAACTCGAGAACACCGACGTAATCGCCTTGAGTGGTGCAGACAACGGTCACTCTGGGATCAGGTATGGAACAGTATTGTCTTTAGTGACGAGTCTAGATTTTGTTTAGGCATGCACGATGGTCGTGCCAGGGTTAGAAGGCGACGTGGTGAAAGGAGGAATCCACAGTTTTTTGTTGAAAGACATGTTCATCACACTGTTGGAGTTATGGTTTGGGGTGCTATAGCTTATGGTTCCAGGTCACCTTTAATCTTCATCAGAGGTAACATGAACGCGCAGCGTTATATCCACGAAGTTCTAGAACCCCATCTTTTACCCTATCTTGACACCCTGGCAGATCCAACTTTCCAACCAGATAATGCCCGACCACATGTTGCAAGAGTCACAATAGACTTCTTTCAACATAATGATGTCACATTGTTACCATGGCCACCAAGATCTCCCGACTTATCCCCAATTGAGCACGTGTGGGATATGATGGGTAGGAGATTGCTCAATTTGCAACGTCCTCCTCAGACTCTAGAAGCACTTCGAGAGGAGTTGGTGGTTGCCTGGAATGAGATACCACAGGAGGACATTGACCACCTGATCAGAAGCATGCCTAGGCGCGTTGGAGAATGCGTAGCACATCAGGGTGCATCCACACATTATTAAAGGTCAAAGGGCTTTAAAGCAGTGCAATCATTTTGAAATTTTTATCATTTACTTATTATGCTTCATTAAGTACTTATACAAAATTTTATTTAAATAAAACCATTTAAACTGGGTGTTCGGATTTATATGTCACTTAGGTGTGGACAGTGAAAAATTTATCTAAGAAACGTCTCCCACGAATGTGAGGTTTTCGCTTCATCTAGTAGTAGTACCTTATATTGATAATCCCTCTGCCATCGGTAACAACCTGCCCGCTCGCGCACTGATAAGAACGAACACAGAAGCAAATATCGCTGGAATCACTATTATCGTTACATTTGCATGTCTTCACGGAAGATTGACCTTCACAACACACTATCACTGTCACTAGGCTGAACATCAGTCGCAACATGGTGCACGAATTTTGTCCTCATGCCTCCTCGAGTTAAACATAGCAGCGAAACTGGAACATGACACAGAATCAAGAGTGCTTGCGATATGGTGCTAGGTGAAAGGTTACTCAGATTAGCTAATAGCGGATAGAAGATTGCTTTGTTTATTGTAGTAAGGCGAGATTTGTTGTAAAACATGTAACATAGTCGAACCAGCGAGCATTCCGGTTTTTTAAGTGTTAGTCCCAGAGACGGAAATAGTGGCAATCAGAAAACCGGACCCCATTTTTTTTTTGTTTTTTCTTATACTCCAACTACCACGAAGGCCTAAGGCCTAAGCACCCATTGGGTACCGTGGGGCTATAGGGGATACAGGGGAAAGGCGGAACGCCACACGGACTCTGGCAAGGGAACACGTGTGCATGCAACATGCACACATTCAGGCTCCGCCTACGAGTTCCGCCGGGTGGTACCTCCACGTTCGACAGTCAGAGACCGTCTACCACCTACGGATAATCACAGCATCCATAGCCAAGATAAACATTTCTCCTGGGACGGGACTCGAACCCGCACAGCGCACGGCGACTGATCAGGAGACCGAAGAGTCTACTACTGCGGTCACCGCTGCTGCCTAAAATGCGGGTGACATTTACAACACAATGTATATCTATAATTTATACTTCATTACTATTACAAAGATGGCGTCAGGTAGATTGAGTCTGCATTCCCCACGCAATTTTGGACAAATGAATCGCAGTCAACTTTTGCACAACCTGTAAGTCTTAATTGTCGGGTAACAAAATTATTCCTTCTGTTTTGTTTTCTTGCAAATTGATTTATGACTTCTTCCATATCGACATGTACACTATACAGGCGTGCGGCAAAAAATGTTTTTACTAAAATGAAAAACCTGGAAAATATTTTCAGGTTTCTGAAATGGCCGATAGGGGGCGTAACTGTAATCTCGAATCTAAAAAAGTGATGTTTCTGCGAAGTTCGCCTATCTGTCTGTCGGTCTGTTGGTCTAAACTAGACTAGTAAAAATGGTCAACCATCAGCAATTCTTAAGCGAGTATTCAGGATATACAGCAGACGCTCGATAATGTAAACTAATTTAATCCAAGTGTGGTTCACATTATCGAAATGTTTACATTAGCGAACGTGATTTATATAATATTTGATTTATTAAAAGAAACGTTTAATACATACTATTTATAACAAAATAAACAGATATTCTAACAGCGATAAGTACTTTTTTAATTAGAAGAAAAGTAATTAACAATTTTTGTATGCGTAAATTTGCGCTTAGCGTTGTCTTCCAATGCCTGCGCCCGTAATTTACGAAAAACTAAAATATCCGTGTATGAAACTTCTTTTCTTTCAGCCCAATCTAAAGCTTGGTTGAAAACTTGTATAGCTTGCGCGTCAGTCACTACACTTCTGACTTCAATGGGATCGTTCTCATCATCCTCACTGTCCACATCCTCCTCCTTATCAGCATCTTGTCTTCGATCCATAAATTAATATCAGCAGGAGTACAAACAATGTTGGGATTCACTGTTTTCAATAAATCAAAAACATCCAATGACAAACTAATAACATTATCATTATTGGATCGCAAACGTTCTCTAATTACGCTTAAGGGGACATCGTCTTCTTCATCATCTTCATTATTGGTACAAAAGAGATTGTTCCAACATTTTTGAATAGTTTGCTGGTTAAGTTCATTCCAGGCCATCTGTAAATCTAAAACAGCTTCTCGTAATGTTACTTTTTTAAAAGATTCTTTGATAAGACAGACGAAAGTAGAAACTTCCTATAGTATAATTTGGTGAGTCTTATTATATTCTGGTCCATCGGTTGAATTAACGGTGTTACGTTGGTCGGCATGTACATGACGAAAATTGACCCATCCCTGCTCCTCAGTTGTTGCTCGGGAGGATGACTTGGTGCATTATACAATAGTAACAACGCTTTTATTGGAAGCTTCTGTTGTTTTAGGAAATCTTTTACCTACAAATTGAAAACACATCTTCAAATTATGAATAGAGCATTTGTGATAATTGATTGTCATACCTGAGGGACAAAGCACCTGTGGAACCATTTCAGGAATATACTGCTAGTCATCCAAGCGGTTTTTGAACAGTCATAATCAACAGGGATATTAACATTTTTAAATGAGCGCGGATTTTTTGCTTTCCAAATTACCAGTGGCTTTATTTTGTGTGAACCATTAGCATTAGTGCAGGCTAGAAACGTTATTCGTTGTTTCTCCGGCATTCTTCCCGGGGCAGGTTTTTCAAATGATGCAGCATAGGTTTTCTCTGGTAACATTTTCCAATAAAGGCCACTTTCATCTGCGTTGTAAATTTGTTCCATTCTTAAATCTAGCTCGGTAACTGTTTTCATCAATTTTTCTTTGAATGGTTGCACTAATTGTGGTTGTTCTGATAATTTTTCACCAGATATAGACAGCAGTCTAATTCCATATCTTGTTTTGAATCGTTGTAGCCCGCCATCACTAGCTACGAAATTTTCAGTTTTTTTCAGTTTTTCATTTAACAGTCTCGCTCTCTATTTAAGTACTTCGCCACTAACTGGGACATGATTTTCCTGTTGTTTTAAAAACCACTTATACAGGGGATTTTCCATTTTAGGTGCCTTCGCAGTTTTTAAAGCTTTTCTTTTTCCTGGACCTCCAAATGTATTGCACGTTCTTTGTAAAATTTGAGTTTTCATACGCTTAATTTTACAGATTGTTGCTTTCGATACTCCATATTTTTTTGCTAACTGTGTCACTCCCGCACCTAGTGCAACTTCGTCTATGATTTTCACTTTCTCACTCAACTTTAAACACTTTTTTTTATAGGATGTGGATGCCATAGTCGTAAAATATATTAACGCGTGTAATGTATTCACTTAAGTTCAAAAATGAAATACATACGTACGTATAAACGTATCCTAAACGATCATACGACTGACCGAGTTTGTCGTATTTTATCGCAGAGGTGAATCCCCTACACTCTACATCATAAATCGGGGACTCCCCGACGCCCGACATAAATCATCGAGGCTTCAGCATTTTACCGTCGCGCTGTTTCCGTGCGCCGAGAGTTGTTTACGTTATCGCGCGTACACATTGTTTACGTTATCGCGCGTTCCGTTTGATCCTAAAGAACTAAGTTTGTGTTTACATTAGCGCAAGTTTTCATTATCCCGTGTTTACGTTATCGAGCGTCTGCTGTATTATCAAAATATTCATTGTTAATATTTTAAACCTATAACTAAAAAACTAAGATTTCAATAGTTGGGCCAACTGAAGTGGGAAGGGGCTCGTCGTTGAAAGAAGACAGCACAAAGTGCCATCTATTACCAGAATCGGCAACTACAAAACTCTCTGAATAGAGTTGCTCAGCTTTCAATCGTACTCCATCGAGACCAAGCCTGCATCATGCTGACGAGTTGACAAATAGCACGAAACATCTGTCTGTCAACATCGTTGGCAGTCTGCGGTCTGATCAAGGAAAACTATAACACTAGATACATAGTTTTCAATTCCTTAGTGACAAATAGCCTTAGACACTATAGAAGGACTCCATTTGCAAAAGGATTTTTAAAAATATCTGGATAGTAAATTTGGGCAACTGAAACAGATCCAGTTCGCGCATCTCATACCAAAAACTTGCTTATCCAATAAAATTTAACGAAACATCGAGAAGCTGCCCTCTAATTGGTCGAATACCCCGTTAAATTTTAATGTTGGTGAAATCCACCCTAAATGAACCAATTTCGTGAGTGATAATTTAGAAAAAAACATCGCTTTTAAAATATTCCGAAGGATTTTTCATCTCTTTCAAATTGTATGCTACCTCCTAGTCTATAATAAACAGCCGTCGAAAAACCATAAAGAATCAATAATTAGTTAAATGTGGAATATTAACTATGATCATGGGCGTAGGTTTGGGGTAAAAAATAATATGAGGATATTGAATGCATAGTCAGAATACTTCTGACAACGTCAACGTTCCAACTCGTATTTCTGATCATCGCAACCTTATTGGTACTCAGGTTAGTGATCTCAATGATAAAAAATGGCGTCAAGTAGATTGACTCTATACGTGCCGCAAAAACTTCTAGTAGTTGCATGTGTTGCAATGGCAACAAAAAGACGAATTCTTCATATAAAAAAACGACTAATAAAAAATCTTAAAAACTTCTTGCGCAACTGTGATCTGGATGAAAGCTTGTTTTCTAGCTAAAACTGGTGTGTACATTCTGAATTCTATGTCAATTTAGTGCTTGGATTCACGGGTCGCACCAGGTAATTAGTTTTTACCAATTTTTCAACCCTAATTCTGCACCATGATCCTTTAAGGTCTTTTTCACGATGATATTCAAGGAGGGGGTACAAACATTACGAACATCCCGTTGAATCTTGCTTGAACTTGCTCTTCAGGGCATCCTGGTCAAAAGCAGTCCTATGAAGAGTTTCCATTATATACAGGGCGTACCAAACATGCAACAGCAGAGTATTGCTCCTAAATAAAAACCTATCAGAAGAAAAGTATTTATGGGTTATTATACATCCGATGAAACATTCCTAAAATACTCGCAATTATATACAGGGTGTCCCAGTTTCGCCCCACATCAAAATATTTTTTTTTTTAAATGGAATGCCGTACTTTTTATAATATACCCTTTTAAAGGCAAAAGATTGATATAACCTACTTATGGGTTTTCATTATTAGATATTGGGTACTTTATCTAAAAAACAAAAAACACCAAAGCTTGACAACTTGCATATCTGCTATCTTGACGGTTGGCATTAGTGTAGTTATATATAGGGTAATATACTGGTGAAAAGAAAACATAAATTTGACCACGACTATAGCCGCCACGGTCAAGTAACTCCATTTCTGATTACGGCAATAAAAAGAGTGGGACATTACTTTCGTTTCATCTGTCTCCAGGACTAGCAGTCCTATACTGCACTGATGAGTAGCTAATAAGCATGAAACAATGCTGGTCGTGGTAGCAGGAGCGGACAGCAAACATGTATGAATGTAGAGATTTTGTATATTCTCGAGAGCATCCAGAATGTTTTTGTCTCTATATTCCTGCGCGGTGAAGAATTTCCCGTACGAGTTTCCCTACAATTTCACTATTGGTTCTCACAAAGTGCAAGGATTTTCAGCCTTCTTCTCTCTATAAATAAACTGGAAGCCCACCTGGAGGTA